GTGGGGAGCATGGCGTGGGAGGCTCCGGGCCGGGGGCCAGGCGCCTCCCCAGCAGGACCCCCGTGGGCGACGCGGCCACACGTGCCACCGAGCGTCAGGCCAAGTGCAGAGGGCCGCTCCGACTCACCCTTTCTCCCGGGGGGCCATCGGGGCCTGCGTTTCCCTGGATGCGGGGACAAACAGAAGCGTTCATTTGGGACTAGACCTGGCCCGAGCCTCGGGGAGCGGGGCAGGCTGAATGTGGGGCTCACCTCGTCGCCAGCCTCGCCTTTCTCTCCGGGGGGTCCCGGCTCTCCCGGCTCTCCCTGAGGGGACAAGCGTGCACTTATCCATCTCTGGCCCCTGGTCCCCGCAGCCCTCCCCGGGCCTGGGCCTCCCGGCCCTGCCGTGGTGGGAAGCAGGGGGCATGCTTACCTCATCTCCGGGGGGCCCTGTGCTCCCCTGCCTCCCAGGCTCCCCGTCAGCTCCAGGCTCCCCCTAGGAAGACCAGGAGGGTTGGCCACACTTAGCCTGTCCTGGGCCGGTGGCCCCGTGCCGGCCCTCCCTCACCCAGACTCAGGGCCTCCCCCCCACCTACGTCTCTACACAAACCCCAGGCTGCACGGCCACAGGGTCAGCCGTTCTCATGAGCCCAGGTGCCCGGCAGACTGGGCTCTGGGCCCCGTGGTAAACGGTTAGCTGGACCTGGCCTTCGGAAGCGTCTTCCGGGACCGCGTGGAACATCTGCTCCCAGGAAGGCTCCCGACAGGACACTCGAAAGACGACGCGGTCCCGGCCGAGCCCCCAGGGACGGGTCACTAACCTTCTCTCCCTTCGGTCCGAAGGCGCCTGCGTCGCCCTTGGGCCCGGGGGAGCCTTGAATACCCTGGGGAGAAGGTGGCAGAGGTCAGTCCATGGTCTTAACCCAGCAGCCACCGGGCTGCACCCCCGTGCGAGTCACCAGCCTGCCGGTGACGTCTTTGAGCGCCAAGCGAAGGGTCTGAGCCACCGTCACACCTGAGAACTCACGGTCTTAGCATATGGGTGACAGAAGGCAACTTACATCGAATCCGGGTGAGCCTTTGCAGCCTGGCAAGCCGGGGTACCCCGTCTCCCCCTGGAAAGGAAGGCAGGTGTGGCTCACCCATCCCGGCCCAGGACAGCCCCGCCCGGGAGATGCTCCGAGCTTGGCCAGCTGGCTTGGCGGCCACTGGGACCTCGCCGCTCTCCCGAGCTGCCTGGGAGGGCCCACGCGAGGGCCCGTCCGCCACGTCCGGGGGCCCTGGCTTTGCCCACTGTCCCTCCCCTGGCCCCCAGCACCCCGGAGGGCTCACCTTCATGCCGTCCATGCCGTCCACACCACGCTTGCCCTTCTCGCCCTGCGGGGCGCAGAGACCACCGGTCAGACCGAAGCCGGACAGCGGCCCCCGGGAGAACGTGTGCCCACGCCACTCACCTTATAGCCCTTGGGTCCCCTGGAGCCCTGCAGAGACAGAAGGGGGGTGAGGGGGTCCCCGGAGACCGGCCTCATCCTCCCGCCAGGGGGGCGGCCTCCCCGTCCGCATCCCCGCGAGGGGCCGCTCCGGCTCAGGGAGACGCGCCCCACAGCCGCGCCTGCTCACCTTCTCTCCGCGGATCCCCTTCTCTCCCTACGGGCAGCAGCAGGACAGGGGCGTTAGTGACAGCCCAGGCCCCAGGCCGCGCTCAGCGGCCTG